TGATCAAGTATAAGGATTTTTGTTTTCAAATCGTATTGTGAATTCTTCCAATTGTCTTCGTTAAGCATAAGGTAAAACCAAAGCATACAAACAAAAAAAAATTAACATAACATAATTCCGTTGATAATTCGTACCATGTAATTCTTTCACTGCTACATTCGTTGACTGCCTATTTCGTCCACAAAATACTTCATCGCTTGCAAAAAAATCCAAACTATTCTTAAGTATAGCTTTGTGAACTTTTCCAAAAGCTCCTTCATCCAGTGCCTCGAGGAATTCTGTTCTAATTGGATGGATTTCGCACAGCTCCAAAACCTGAATATCGTCGGCAGTTCTTCATCAGAAAGAATAAAATTTGATTGAAAGAGATGTTATAGTTATGATAAAACTGGTAACTTACTAGCTCCTCGTTTAGAGAAATCTGTTATGTTCTTAGCAGTTGAAGAATACTTGGAGCTAGAATTACTTCATTGATTCTGTTGCATTATAACGTTCATGTATGATTGACACTTCCTCATACGGTCCATGTGCTTCAATGATCGGTTGTTGAATGTGAGTGAATCTGTCGAAAGGAACTTTAATGTTCTAGAAAAAACTTCACCGTTTTTAATGTTGGTCATTACGTTTCACTTAGCTATGGGTTTTAGAAGCTGTAATAACGTGTACCTTTTTGTCAGTTTAGTCGCCCGATTCTTATGGAAATACCAAACACCAATGACCAGCAGGATGACCACCAAAAACCCCAAACAGGCCATTAGTACTCTTACAAGATTACTGGTCAGCAGTGAAGAATCTATAAAGTAAACGAACTCGATTATGATCATAACAGCATTTTTAAACTTTTCCTGCAAAATATACATCGCTTTTCCTCTCGCATTCTCAATTTATTGCATAACTTATCCTATCTTCAGTGAATTCCTGTCCAGACCTGGTGGGTGTTGTGCCGTAATCTTCTGCTCAAACTGAGACTGTACACCTTTTGTAGTTGCCGACTGTCTCATAGAATTGTGACTTCCTCCTAGCTCATTCCAAGCTCTGACCTGAAACTCATAAGTTGTGGTGCAATTTAGCATAATGGTAACTTGATTGACTGTGACGTCGGTAATATTTATCATAGTCCACTCGATGGCATCAGGAGGTGCGCCTATTTGTTTGTAGCTGATTGTGTAGAAAAGTATTGGGCAGTCTTTTGATAGAGCCTTGGTCCACGTGAGGGTCACATTACATCCTGACACTTTCCGTTCAACTATTACAGGTGGGTGAGGCTGGTCTGCAAATTTGAAAAGAAGATTTATGAACATTAATATGATGCTTTTAACATTGACATAATCGTCCAAAATTACTTATGATGCCGTTATGCATAAGATAAGCAGAGTTCTTTTTTTAAATTAAGGGTAATTCTAAAAATAACAAAGAGAAAGTATCTTGTTAGAACAGACACATACAGTCGAGGCTTTGCAGATAAGTGTTATCCTTTTGTAAGATCTTAGCGTGCGGAATGTATTCAATCATTAATTGGGGTGTCTCTTCTGTGTTGTTGCTGTTTCTCGTTGTCCATTGAGTGTTTTTTCACCGGTTAGTTAGCTTCTGTTGTTCTCCATATTGCATGCTTTGGTTCTTTATTTTTTATTTCGCAACTATTGGCGGCAATTACACTTTCAGTTAGTTGTTCTCGCATGCATTAATTTTTAGTTTTTCGTGCGTATATAAACTTAGCTTTTTCTGTTCAGGGCGCTTTTTCTTTTTCGGTAGTCGCGCTAGTCGCAGTTAGCTTTCAAACAGCTCCTGTACTCTTCATTTCGTCTTCGGAAAGTGTTTTTTCGTCAAGCGCAGCTTTGCAGTAATCGTAACGATGTAAGTATTGTCGTTTCAAGTTGGCTCAGCGTTGTAATTTTGTATTTATTTATTACTTTTAAGTTTCAACCTACATCGTTCACCGTCAATAAATCGCCTTCTTTATCAGTAATTCTGGTGTTGAGAAGTTACGATTGCCGCAGTCACAAATGGATCATTGTCTTCATAAAGCAAATGAATTACATTGACAACTTCATAAGAATGCCGACACCGATTCGCTGGCGAAATTCTTGATACGTTGAATGGCAAACATACAGATTATTTCATGGTTGGTATTCGGCTTTTGATTGGTCTATGCGATATTTTTCATAGTTGAGAAAAATCGTCTGACCAATAGCATTGCTTCTCATCTAAGACAGACA